CACACAATCAATATTAGCCATTATTATTACTCATGCTTATCAATAATAAGGGAGCTCTGGTGGCATAGTGCCTAAGGCATTTGACTGCTGACCAGAAGGCTCGTGGTTCAAACCCACCAGCCACTCCCCGGAAGGAAGACTGGGCAATCTACTTCTGTGGAGATACCACCTCAGAAACCCAAGGAGGGGTCACTATGAGTCAAATCAACTCAATGACAGTGAGTTTGGTTTATATTACCAATTACACTTTCACTCATCTATCTCCAGCAGCACTAGGCTAGACACATGGTAGACTTCCCATTATTGCCTATTGAACTGAACTGAAACTGCTGTGAGTGTTCCTTGAGTACTTGGAAGATGCACTGCCACCTTGTTAGGAGGGTAATCCCAAGCCAGTCCTCCTTCCTCGTCTTGTCCTCTTCACCCTTCCTTCCCACTCTAAGACCTTATGGCCCATGTCTTTGAAAGAGCCTTTTCTTTTTGCCTCAGTACAACCTGTAACACTACTTGCTACAGAGTTCCTTGACAGACCCTAAACAGTGTAAGGCCTCTCCAGAGACTTCTGGAATAAAAAGCCAGAATCCCTGTCTCTATTGCTGTGACACGAAAGCTTAGGGACCCTTCCTGGGGCTTGGGACCATAGCCCTTCTCTATTTCCCACCCACAGTCTCACAATCTTGGGGCTTTATTCCAAGCTTGTTACTTACATGTACAGGGCAACACACCCAGTGCCAGATGATCCCTGAGCTAGCTCTCACCTAAAGCAAAAAGCACTTGGCCTGCAAATCAGCTGTTAGAATTTGGTTATTGTTCTGAACATAAACACAACCATTTGGTGCTTCAAAGAGGACCTCTTAAGTAAACCCAAGCAATATCATCCCCAGATACATAAGCAAATCCAGTACAAAAAACAAATGGGGAGGTTGATTTATGCCAAAGGGCAGGGTTGTGTAAATAATCCAGAAACTCAGCAACAGAGCCACACCAAGACACTGCAGCTGGTGTGTTGGCAACACATCATTAGCAACAGCTGCTGCTAGATTTGTTGTATAGCTACCAACCTCCAGTGGAAATGGCACAGCTTGGGAGTTAGTAGATTGATTCATGAAAATGATGAATTTCCACGTGCTACACACACAGGTGGATGGTCCAGTAGCTAGTTACCATTATCTATGGTTTCTAATAGGAACTCTCCTACGACAAAGCTTGAAACTGAGGTCTTTGAATTCTCAGAAATGGTTTTCATCTTCTTAGATGTTAATAAGACATTCTGATATATTAGCCCCAAACAAATTGTTCATCCCACAAAATTTTATTATGCAAGGTAAAAGAGCCCTGGTGGTGCAGTGGTTAAGCACTCAACTACTAACTGGAAGGTCAGTAGTTCAAACCCACCAGCTGCTCCATGGGAGAAAGATGTGGCAGTCTGCTTCCATAAAGGTTGACAGCTTTGGAAACTCTATAGGGCAGTTCTGCTGTGTCCTATAAGGTTTCTATAAATTGGATCAACTCGACAGCAATGGGTTGGGTTTGTTTTACATATGCAAGGTGAGGTCCCTGGGTGGCACAAGCAATTTGCAATCAACTACTAACCAGAAGGTTGGCAATTCAAACCCACAAAGCAGCAATCTGCTTTCATTACAGCCAAGAAAGCCTTATGGAGTTGTTCTACTCTGTATCATGTGGGGTTGCCATTAGTCCAAATCTACTCAAAGGTGATGGGTTTATATGCAAGGCACTGTATCAGGATTAGTGCATTAACCATTATCTAAAATAAAATAAAACCCACTGTCATCAAGTCAATTCTGACCCATAACAACCCCCATTGGGTTTCAAGGCAGTAAATCTTTATGGAAGTAGATTGCCCCATCTTCCATCCATGGAGCAGCTGGTGGGTTTGAATAACCAACCTTCTGGTTAGCAGTCAAATGCCTTAGGCACTGCATCACCATAGCTTCTTTTGTCTAGAATGTTGTTGTTGTTGTTGTTATGTGCCATCGAGTCGGCCCCAACTCATAGCGACCCCTCCTTGGGTTTCCGAGGCAGTATCACTACGGAAGTAGGATTGCCCAACCTTCCTTCCGAGGAGTGGCTGGTGGGTTTGAACCACAAGCCTTCTGGTTAGCAGTCAAGTGCTTTAGCCACTATGCTACCAGAGCTCCTGTCTAGAATAGGAAAAGCAAATACACAGTAAGCATATCACAAATCCCCTATCGTTTGCCCAGTGCAGACACCAATCTTCCCAAGAGCCTGGACATGAATGATCTCCAAGTTAGAATTGAGTAACTTACCTTATTTTTATTTCCTTAAATAAATTCTATGTTTAATTAATCAAAGTAAATTGCTTACCATGAGGCAGGTACTATGTAAACACTTTACATTGCATTATCTCATTTTTCATCACAACAACTCTATGAGGTAAGGCATTGTTGTAATCATCCCATCTTCCAGACTGCCAAGTCTGCCCAAGACTTTAGGCACTTGCAACAAGCTTGGGGATGCTAGGGCCACCCTCACTTCTGACTCCTACCCACTGCTATCGAGTCAATTTCAACTCATACCGATCTTTTAGAACAGAGTAGAACTGCACCATAAGATTTCCAAGGCTGTAAATCTTTACAGAAGCCGACTGCCTCATCTTTCTCCCATGGAGCAGCTGGTAAGTCTGAACCACCGACCTTTTGGTTAGCAGCCAAATGCTTTAATCACTATGCCACCAGAGCTCCTTTACTTCTGACCAGCTGGCTCCAAATTCAGAGATTCCCACTACTCCCTCAGATTTTATATCAACACAGAGCCTTACGCAGTCACGAGCAATCAAATGCAATTGACACATCATCTTAAACTGTTTGTAATCTTGGAGTTGGAACATAGTTTCTTAGAGAACATAGTGACAGCAAGAGAAAGGAGCTCAAACAGCATTAGCCATTTTGGAAGAAGGTGAGATAATATTAAAAACAGCCCACAGCTGGTTCCTAGGACAAGATAGGCTGAGCCACAGGCCATCTAGGGGCCTTAGCAACAGGTTCAGGGAGGTAAGTAACATAAACTCTCTATGACCTTGAGCACGTATCCTCAACTATCTGAGCCCCAGTTTTCCTATTTATAAAATGAGATGATAACAACAATGCCTACCTCATAGGATTATTATGATAAAAAATGAGATAAGGCAATGAAAAGTATTTACACAGTATTTGTCTCATGGTAAGCAATTTACTTTTATTAATTAACAGAATTTGTTTAAGAAAGGAAAGTAAGATAAGGTTCTCTCTTCCAGTCAACCCCGCAGGACATTCTGGACATTTGTTAGGACTGAAAATTTTTAGGCCCAAGTCCTAGGACTATGATTATCTTATTTCCATTGGGAAATGTGCTTGTTGACCTCCACAGAGTTAGTTCCCAGGATCTGTCCCAAAATATAGAAGTGTGGTCATTAAGGCATATTCTGAGCTGAAGATAACCCCACTCTGAAACTGACCTCATCAGGCAGAGGTGAAAGTGCAAGTCAGGTGCTACAAATGACTTATTTCCAATATCAGCTACTTAGAGTTAGGCCAGACTTCATAGGTTAAGGGCACCAACCTCTCGACTGCCAAGTCTGCCCCAGACTTCAGACACCTGCTACACATTTAGGGGTCTCAGGGCCACCCTCCCTTCTGACCATCTGACCCCAAATTCAGGGGTTGCCACTATAGGTTTGATCACTCACTAAAATGACTTACAGAACTCAAGAAAGTGCTGTCCTCATAATTGCAATTTTAATTATAACAAAAGGATACAAATCAGAACCAGCCAAAGGGAGAGATGCACAAGGAGAGGTCTAGGAGAACAGCAAATGTGTCCCTAGGGATTTCTCACCCTCCCAGCACATCAGTGTACACAAAACATTGTCAATCAGGGAAGTTGACCTCAATGTTCAGAGTTTTTATTGAGGCTTCATTACTTAGGCATGATTGATTGAATCATCGGCCATGTGACTGTACACAATCTCCAGCTAACACCACATGGCTCAAAGCTCCGAATCTCTAATCACACAATTGGTCTTTCTGGTGGTCATTCCCTATCCTTTGTCATCTCGTTAGCTAGAACTATAGAGAGAGGGACCCATCATGAAAAACAAAGCCACTCCAGTCACTCAGGAAATTCCAAGAATTTGGAGGTTACATCTTCAGAACTTGGAACAAGTTGACTAAACTATTTACTACAAAAAAAGTACCAAAAAGTACATATCCTTTGGTTTACGAAAAGGGACCTTTGCCATTTATATGACATATTCCAACAGATTTGTATCCAGAATTCAATGAGATTACCACAAATGCTTTACTTCTATTCTGCCTTCTTTTGTTAAATACTCATTTTTATTATATTAGATGCACAGTATAAGTTCTCTGTAGACATTTACAAAATACAGAGAAGCAAAATGAAGAAAATAAAAAGCATTCATAATCCTACCTCTAGGGGAAAAAAAAATGTAAACATTTTGGTATCTATCCATCCAAATTTTCTGTCTGCATTATTTAACCAAAAAAACAAACTCACCACCTTTGAGTGAGATCCAACTCATAGCAACCCCTCTTTGGGTTTCCAAGGCGGTATCTCTACGGAAGTAGATTGCCCAGTCTTCCTTCCAAGGAGGGGTTGGTGGGTTTGAACCATTTGACTCTAACAAGCCCCTCCTCAGAAGGAAGGTTGGGCAATCTACTTCTGTAGTGATACCGCCTTGGAAACCCAAGGAGGGGTCACTATGAGTGGAGTCGACTCGACTCAATGGCAATGAGTTTGGTTTTTGAGATATATATGATCATTCTAAGGAGAGTATCTACCTGGTATAAATGTTCACCCTATATGCCTGTCTATTGTTTGGCTGGAAGCCACAGGAATGAGTTCATATATATATGTGGAGCTATGGTGGCATAGTGCCATATATGTATTATGTATGTATATATACGTATATATAACAACAAAAATTACTGCTTAAATTTTTTTTTCTCTCTCTCTAGTTTATCATTACCAGTTCAAGATCCAGTTTATCAACCAAGTGGCGAAACCAGTAGAACCCACTTTCGCCATGTCACTACTGGGAACAAAAGAGGAAATGAAGAAAATTCCTATCACTCTGTGAGTATGAGTTAGAGCCTCTGCATGTAGTAACAATATGCTTATTTTTCTCACAGGGTTTAGATGGACTTTGTACTTTTCAAAGGGCATGCGAGACACAATTTACTCTTCTCAGCTCTTATGGCTGCCCCAAACTTCCTATCAGAGGAGACATTCACTCAAGCCCACATCTTTTTGTCTCTCCTAAGTGTCACCCTAGTTCCACTGACCATGTTAGCACTGCCTACGTGTGTGATGGGCCTAATGCAATGTGGGCTGAGCAGTAAGGGAAGCCAGGGGTAGCCCAGCCAACATCTTCAGTGCAGGGAAAGATCTGAGCAGGGAGGAGTGGTGAGAGAAGGTCAGGTGTCAACAAGAAGATCCTGAGCACCTTTCCAGTGAGTTTCGAAAACCACCACCCAGAAAACTAGTTTCATTCAGCTGGGCACTGTTCAAAGAAAAATCATATTAAACCAATAATATAAATTGATTGAAGTTATTTGACATACAATTTGCAAATCAGGATAACATTTTGACTATAAATGCTCTGAAGATGAGAACTTCCAAAATTCTTATACCACATCTTATTAGCATTTCCATGGAAAAAGAAGTGGAACAGAACTGATAAACAGTTTGTGGTCAGGAAGAATTTCATACAGTATTGTCTTGAAGACCAATTAAAATAATTACTGATTTATCCTAAAACATAGCTCCCAGTCTGATTTCTGAAGTTTGTTTCCCTGAAACTGACTGAATTCTTCAAAAAAAAACACAATGCACAAGCCAAAGTGGTCTTACTGATTTATCTAGACCATTGTTTAATTCAAGGTGATTTTTTTATTATTTTTTTAATTTTTATTGTGATTTGGGTGGAAGTTTACAGAGCAAATTCCATTTAGCAATTTCCATATAGCAGTTCATACACATTTTGTTTTATGACATTGACTGCAATCCTCAGAATGTAATAGCTCTCTTCCTCCTCCTCCCTGTAGTTACTTCTTCCTTGTCCTTCTTCCCTATACATTCCTGTCCCCTAAGCTATCTCCCTGTGTAAATACTGCCTCTCTGTTCTCCCATGATCATTCTAAGGGGTATATCTACCTGGTGTAAATGTTCACCCTACATTGTTTGGCTGGAAGCCACAGGAATGAGTTTAATTGCAGGCTTGAAGGGTAACTAGAGGCCATAGTCTTGGAGGTCTCACCAGGCTCTATCAGAGCAGTAAACCAGGTCTTTTTTATGATTTTGAGTTTTGTTCCACATTGTTCTTGCACTCTATCCAGGATCTACTGCAATGGTCCTTGTCCAAGTGGTTGACAGTGGTAGCCAGGCACCATCTTGTTCTTATGGTCTCATGGTCATGCAGGCTGTGGTTCATATGGTTCAAAAGTGACTTTTTAGAAACCAGTTCTTCCTCAAGGCCCAAGGTTAAAAAGGAAAGCTAGGGCAAATGGCCTGTGTGGTCACCCCAACTCCATGGACCCCAGAAATCCGGATTCTAAGAGAATTAAAACAATTTCTCAGCACAAACTTTTCATCTCCATCAGATGGCACTGCCAGCCCTCCCCAACTGTCCTTCAGCCTTGTCTTAGTTACCTGATGCTGCTGAACAGAGCCACAGTGCGTGGCTTTAACAAACAGAAATTTATTTTCTTACAGTTAAGGAGGCTAGAAGTCCAAATTCAGGGCACCAGCTCTGGGAGGAAGGCATTCTCTCTCTGTCAACTCTGGGAGAAATCCTTGTCTCAGCTTTTCTAGCCCTGGCGTTCCTCTATTTCTTGGCAACTTCTATGTGGCATTTATCTTTCTCCATTTGTGCTTGCTTCTTTCTGTGTCTAATCTGCTCTTTTTATATCTCAAAAGACATTTAGGTTTAAGACCCAGTCTATATTTATACAGCCTCATGAACATCACAAAGAGAGCCCTATTTCAAGATGGGATACATCCACAGGTATAGGGGTTAGGAGTCCAACATATTTTGGGGGGAACACAATTAAATCCATAGTAACCCTGTTACACACCTGCTCATGACACCAGCAGAGGCCTCACAGCCCCTCACTCCAGAGGCTCCCCACGTTCACTGGTTAGAAAGGGCCCAGTCGATGCCCAACATCTAGACTCTCAGCATGAACTCTTTCTGCAGGGTGACACTAACCCTTCACCCCCTCCAGGAGCAGTCCTCAGCTTCCTAAAAATCGCCTGCTTTGGATCTCTGATCATCACACTGATTCAGCCATTTGGCAAAAATTTGTTGGTGCTCCACACTAGAGGTAGGGAGGACTTATCCTTAGGAAACTCACTATCTAGTGGGAAGGCTGAATTCCTAAGGATTCTGCAGGAAGAACTAGGATGAGCCAAGCATCCACCATCGTCTTACCCTAAATCCAGTATCACTTCTGCATTCTTGAAAATCCCTTCCCAAAGAACTGTTTTAAGTAGTTGAAAGGGCATGTGGTAGCTCTGCCAGTTTGGGGACATTTTAATGTCTTGTGAGTATAGCTGTCTAGTAAGTAAAACTGATAATTATACCTGAGTCAACATTTAAGTTTTGCTTCATATTGATGCATCTTTCCATACATATGTGGTTTCCTATTTTTTCTATGCTTTGCTTTTTTAATTAAAATTTCTATTTGTATGGAAGAAAAAAAGCATTACTGAAGATAAAAAGAATGTGATGGGGATCTACTGTGTTCATCAAACCTACAGGGAATTCAGCTGTTGAGAGACCATTACTCAAGCCCCACTCTCTTCTTGGGAACATCTTTCCTGATTTGTTACCTAGAAGCTAAGAAGAAACAACCTGAACTGAACAAAGTTAACTAGATTAATTAATAATTAATTTTTAATATGCTAACACAGGAACTAGTATGGTTTTCCAATTTTATCGGTCTGGAAAGCCCTTTTTTCCCTAGTACATCTATTGTTCTTCTATCTGTTTGTATCTCTATTGAACATCAATTTTGGAAATGCAGGGAGAAAAAAAAAAGACCATCACAAGTAATTCAGGCAAACATATTGCATGCTAAATGTGCCTAAGCATCACTTTGCTATTACAAATAAACTGACTGTGTCTGGTTTCCTTTGTATCTTCAAGGGGCGAAGGAATTACTAGTAATAAAACCTACTCCTTTCTAATCACGTTGGATTTTGATATTGGTGAGCTAATCATGATCAAGTTCAAGTGGGAAAACAGTGCTGTATGGGCCAACGTCTGGAACACAGTCCAAACCATCATTCCATGGGGCACAGGGCCCCGCTACTCAGGTCTCCTTCTGAAGATCATCAAAGTCAAAGCAGGAGAAACCCAGCAAAGGTGACTGGTGATTCAACCTCCTCCTAACAGATATTAATTGTTTACATGGGCCAGCTACTTTCACAATTTAACGCTTACAATATATATTGGTTGTTATGAAATGGTTGTTATTATGTCCTAATGATAGTATAAACACTCACTCAGAAAGGTGAAAAAACCAGCCCAAGTTCACACAGCTATAGGTAGAAGGACTAAGATTTGAACCCAGGTCTGCTGATTCCCAGCCAACCTCTTCCTCCTGCCAGTGGTTAATGACTACCTGCCTCAGGAGTTTGAGAACCACCTTATCAGCCCAATGCTTCTCAAATATCACCAGACAATGTAGGGGCTACTCCAAGGACCTCATTTTGAGTGGCAACGATTTAGATGTGACATTTCTTTCTCATTGCTTACACAGAAAAATATTTTTAACAGATCACAATCTCAAAATCTCAATTTACCTCTCTCTGTGGGGTGCCTTTCAAATCATAGAGTGTATCAGAACCATTGGGAAGCTTATTAAACATGCAGAACTCCCGGCCCCACCACAGAGATTCTGATTCATTGCTCCCTGTGAGGGAGCCCCGGGATACACATTTTAATAACAGCCCCAGGAAACCCTGATATGGATCAATCTCCAGTAATCAGTTGCTATTAAGTCAATTCTAATTCATGGTGACCCCGTGTGTGTCAGAATAGAACTGTGCTCCAGAGGGTTTTCAATGGCTGATATTTCAGAAGTAGATCTCTAGCTCTTTCTTCCAAGGCAGCTTTGGGTGGACTCACACCTCCAACCTTTTTGTTAGCACCTGAGCACATTAAGCATCTGTACCACTCCAATGTAGACCAATAGGCTACACTTAAGAAACATTGCCATGTGTGATTTAACATCTCTCCTAGCCCCAAAGCCCCAGGGACAATAAGGGGCTGGGATGGAGAATATGGAGTAAAGAAAAGATGATCTAGCAGCTCCTACAGTTTTCTTGACAGAGCAAATGGATGACCCTGGCCACCATGCTTGTCTATAGTTCTGTAGGTCTCCATGAAAAAAGGATTCTGTCCTTCCCAAGACCCTTTACTATCTCCTCCTTCTGTATCCAGGAAACTTGTCTGTCCTCTCACATCTCCTTTGTTGGGAAGCCCATTTCTCTCGTTGGCGTGTCCTCAGTAGATGTGGGAAACAGCAAGCCTCTAATCTCTAAACTGCATGCCTCCCTCATGCTTAGACTTCACTGCCAGGAGCCCGTCCGTGGCAGATTTATGCCCCCTGAGTCCCACATACAATCACACTCTAAGATTTTATCTCCCTGGGATACACAGTCCTGGCAATTTACTAAGAACATACTCTGTAGTCTGCCAACAGATTTCTCCACATGATCAATTTGAGAAAATTAAACTGCTTCTCTCCTCTTATATATTTACCCATTTTTGCATGGTTGTTTGGTCCTTTAGAACAGTGCTACTGCTTAGCACTGCTCTGCCCTGCATTTTCTCAACTGGAGAGTAACACACCATGACCATGCTACAGAACTTGACCAAAAGAGTCATATGAAACATGCTCCCTTCCACATCAGTGCCTGCCCACATGGTTCTGAGGAAGGAAGAGGAAAAGGTACTGGTGTTTATAGAGCTCCCACTGCACAGCAGGCATTGGACTGGGTGTCCTATGCCCATCAATCTCATTTAATCTTCTATATACCCCTCTGAAATGGGTAGAATGAGTGGTGCAGATTAGGAATCTGAAGGTCATGGATGTTACACATCTTGGGGACCTTGTTAATAATTGTATGAGCCCAGATCTGACTCAGGTTTACCCAACTTATTGCCCATCCATCGTGGCCCATGTATTGTTTCCCAAAGAGGTCCTTCCCTTCATCAGTCTTGTTGTTGTTGTTAGATGTCCACAAGTTGTCTATTCCAACTCATAGCAACCCCACATGACAGAGAAAAACTGCCACCATAAGGTTTCCCAGGCTAAAATCTTTACTGGAGCAGATCACCAGGACTTCCTCCCACAGAGCCACTGAGTGAGTTCAAAATGCCAACATTTCATTTAGCAACTGAGCACTAAACTATTGTGCCACCAGGGCTCTATCCATTAGTCTTTACCCCCCAATAATCTGATGTCTCTTAGTCTAATCTAGCAGAGTTGCTGTGCTAGACATTAACATATATGCCCATCAAACCCTTCTTAGTGCTGTAGGAGGTATATGTTGAAAGGGGGAGCAATGAAGGGCATATAGTTTTTCAAGCATTAAATACCAAGCCCTTCCTGTGTGTCTACACAATACCAGGTACCACTGAGGCATACCAAACAAATCCAAGTTGTAGCTTTTGGTGTAACAAAAGTTCAGAACCTAATGAGGAAAATAAATGCATCAATATTACTAATGGGTGCTTCATCCCAGTGCTTCTCAAAATTTAATGTGCATGTGGTTTACCTGGACATCAAGTTAAAATGCAGGTTCTGCTTCAGGATTCTAGGTGGGGCCTGAGATACTGCATCTCTAGGAAGCTCCCAGGCAATGCTGATGCTGCTGTCCATGAACCGCACTTTTATTAGCTAGCCCTGAAGTCTAGGGAGTCTGAAAAGAAGGATATCAGCTCAGGTTGGTTCTGCCAGGGCTGTTCCAATTAGGATGTGCAAGGCTTTGGGTAGGCTGGCAGGCATTCCCAGGGAATTAGGCACTGATCATTGCAGTATGGCAGATAGAATCAGACAGACTTCAGCAGTCAGTTTTAAACTCAAATTTTGGCTCTACTGCTTACCATCTAAGTGGCCTTAGACAATCACTTCACCTCTCTGAGACTCAGTGTCTCTAGCGTAAGTGAGAATGACATTACCAGTTTTTTAATACTTTCTACAAACAAAAATCCCAAAGCCAGGATATGAATACTAAACCCTATAGTCTTAATCCCTCTGCAAACTGCAAGAAGTGAAAGAAAGAAAGAAAGAAAAGAAAAGAAAAGACTAACACATTCTGTGCCTCCTTGGTAAGAATTCAGTGTGAGGTGGTTCTCGTCCCCAAAAAAGCCATCTCTTGTGAGGGTAAAGAGAAAGGACAAAAATACTGACCCTATAGCAAGATATAAAAAGTGATTGGCTAAACATAATGAAAAGATGCTCAATTTCTACAGTTATCATATTCACATATTACTCATAACAAATTTTTAGCTTAGTAAAAATTTGGCCTTAGGTCCAATAAAAGGAAGAAAGGGGAAAAAAAAGAAAGTCAAAAATTAGAATTCTCTGTGACTTTTTTTATCAGATGCAGTTGGAATTAGTAACATAAAATGGTATCTCAAGACACACTAATGGTCAAAGAAATCTAACAGTTGAGAGACCCAAAGCTCATAGTGGGTATCCTCTATGGCTAGACAGTGTCTGCACCTATAAGGGGAAGGAGCAAGGCTTCCAGTGCTGAGCCAGGCAGGGACTGATGGCAGTTGCCCACAGAGCTTTAAGAACAGCCTTGACAAACTGGAGCATGTCCAAAGAAGGAAGGCTGAGGAGTTCAGTCTTGAGTAGTTGAAGGAACTGATCACGTTTGCCCTGGAATCAGGGTGATCTAGTGAAAAAATCCACAGTTAACCCTCCAATCTTTGATGTTTGGTTATAAGGGAGAACAAATGGGGGCTGCCACTAGGACCTTCAGTTCTTACAGAGTTGAAACCACCCCAGTGCAAGGACCCAGGAAGCCTTACACATTTGCTTTACCTCACTTGGGTATTGTTTTTCTCTGATGTTACGAAAATATTTGTGAACATCAGAATCTAATTAAAGAAACAACATTGCATGCCTTATTTAAATTAAGTATTTGACAAAGGATGAAACACTTCAGTGAGCTCCATTTAAAATTTAATGCTGTGTTTGCTTTATGTTTTCTATTCAGAATGACATTTTGCTCAGAAAACATGGAGGATCTACAACTTCACCCAATCCAGGAGAAAATTTTTGTGAGATGTGAAGTAAACTCCAAAAAATTGAAGCAAAAGATCAGATAAGCTTTCATGAAGATCCAGTGTAAAGAATAAATGAATCTTATTCCTCATCTGGAGGGCAACAAACCCCCAGAAAAGGTATATAAAGAATTTTGCATAAAGTTTAAATAATGTTTGAAAGTAAACGAGATATGTTTCACTATTGTAACCTGAGCTTTTAAAATTAAACAACTATTTTCAAATATTAAAAAATTCCAATATTACCTCTGGTTGAATGGTAATATATGCAAATTAGTACAGATGTAAGCCATTTTAGATCCATTGTTCTAATGTAAAATGTCTTTTACAATTAAGTCAAATTTTCCACATTTTCCAGCTAGTTAATTCTGAGCACTTTTTGAGCCATGCTGGAAAGGCACTTCTTTATTATGTAACTGGCATTTCAAAAAAGGGAAATTCTGATTAATCACTAATGGTATGTTCCAACGTACACCTTTAAGGCTATACAACTCACCAAAAGAAGAAAACGTCTAATTAACCTAATAGTTACCGCCATACAAATAAGAGTTCTTTAGCTGAACCACTACTAATGATAATGAAGAAAGGTGGACAGTTGGTCATCTTAATAATTGAATTATCTGTTATATAAATGGGAGTTCTGGTGGCATAGTGCCTAAGGCATTTGACTGCTAACCAGAAGGCTGGCAGTTCAAACCCACCAGCCACTTCTCAGAAGGAAGACTGGACAATCTACTTCCATAGAGACACCACCTTGGAAACCCAAGGAAGGGTCGCTATGAGTCGGAGCCAACTTGATGGCAGTAAGTTTGATTTTTGGTTTTTTGGTTACATAAATATAATTTTCCTCTTTTACTAATGCTTGCAATAAAAGCTAATGGAGGGGGAGGGCAACACAATATGACCAGTGGCAAAGGAAAACACTTGGAGGAGCACAAGAGTAAAGATAACAAAGGTAAATCTGTTACATATATAAATTCTGCAATAATCGTAATAACAAACAATATCCATGAGTAGATACACAGGTAGACATGCAAGCTGAGCAGATGTGGGAAGGTGAATGGGAGTATACCCACAAGTATACATAAGTTTGGCAGAGGATATTTCTCTGTATGTATTTGCATGTGCTACAAGTATATCCAAGGATATTATAGAGCGTACAGAAGGCAAAGTTCTGAAAACTTCTTGGCCATAAATAAAGACCCTGTGGGAATGAGTCACTGGGCCTGGGGCTCTAGGACCACAAAGTCAGAGGACATCTAGGTCAATTGGCAAAACATAGTCCACAAAGACAATGTTCTACATCCTATCTTGATGTAGAACAAAAGCTTTGAGGTCTTCAAAGCTTGTGAGTGGCTATATCTAAGATGCATCTCTTGGTCTCTCCTCATCCAGAGCAAAGAAGAGTGAAGAAAATAAACTCAAGGAAAGAATTAGTCCAAAGGATTAATTAACCACATGAACCATAGCCTCCACTATCCAGAGACCAAGAGAACTAGATGGTGCTTTGAATACCACTACCAACCATCCTGATTGGGATCACAGTAGAAGGTTCTAGACAGATAGGGAGAAAAAAATGTAGAACAAAATTCAAAATCATGAAAAAGACCAGACTGACTGGTCTAATAAGGACTTGAGGAAAAAGGCCAAGACCATGGCCCTTAGACATACTTTAAGCCTGGAACTGAATCCACCCCCGTGGGGATTAACTTCCAGCCAAACAATAGTCAGGCCTATAAAGTGAATAATAACACCAGGGAGGAATGTACTTCTTGATACAATCAACCATATGAGACCAAAATGGCAGCATTTGACCAAAAACAAAGCTCAGAAGGCAGAAAGGCGTGGGAAATCAGGATGAATGGAAACAGGGAACCCTGGGAGGAAATGGGAAGAGTGCTATTACCTTGAGGGGATTACAACCAACGTCAAGAAACAAAATGTGTATAAAATGCTGAATGGAAAACAAATTTCCTCTGTAAACTTTCACCCAAACCACAATTGTAAAATAATTTAAAAAAAAAAAAGAAAAGAAGCTAATGGAAAAGCTGGGATATCTCAAAGAGATATCAAATCTCTTTTGAGTAAATGAAATAATGATGTTTTGACCAGCACATTCCATCACAGAGCACATGATAGAAGCAGCAACTAGATGTGGTGATCACTTGGATAGTCATAGGTAGTTCAGAGAGCAGGACCAAGCTCAGCACAGTACACAGCCTAACCTGACATTCACACAGGCTCAGCTACACACAGCTCACAATTCACAATTCTCTTCACTGGAGCAGGGGAAATCAGGGCTCATGCAAACAAAAGTCCTGAGGAGATTTCTGCCTCTGACCAAATCAGCTCAACACTATCTTGCATGATTCATTTCATTTCCTTTTGAAAGGTATCTAAAACTAAAGGGCTTGGGGACTGGGACAGAAACACCAGCTGGGTCGATACTTCAAAATGAAGCACCCTGCCATGAATGCTAATCTTACCTGCAGAAATACATGGCTCACTTTTAGGTTAAGTGTGCATGTGTGTGTGTGTAGATGGATAAATATTAAAGTGAACGATTCTTTACATTATGTCTAAAACACTATAACAATAACACTACATTCAGATTGGCATTGGATTAGCATGTTTTATGATTAGCTATCTAGAAAGAATTTAACATACTACTTTTTAAAAGGAGAACACTCCTTGCTATAAATCTTAGAGAACATGTGCACATGTACACTAGGATATATGTACCAGAATATTCATCTCAGCTTTGAAATAGTCAAAACCAGAAATTGTCCAAACAACCATAGATGGAATATATACATGAACTGAGGTATAAGCTTCATAATGGAATGTTGTACTGCAGTGAAAAGGGAACCAAAGCTACATGCACAAGAACAGGCCTGGAATGAGAGGGAGACAGTGAGGTATCTAGGGTGCAAACTTTTAGGAGGCATTTTACTCACTGGTCCATGCACTTGCAGAAAGACGCACAAAACAAAGTATAAAACATGTAAAATTAAACTGTATTGTCAGGAAGGATAAATAGGTGGTAAATCTATAAAGAAGAGCCCTGGTGGCACAGTGGTCAAAGTGCTCAGCTGCTTACTGAAAGGTCAACAGTTCAAACTCACTAGCTGCTCTGTGGGAGAAACACACAGTAGTCTGCTTCCATAAAGATTACAGCCTTGGAAAACTTCTGGGGCAGTTCTACTCTGTCCTATAGGGCTGCTATGGATCAGAATCAATTCAATGGAAAAGAGTTTGATTTTAGGAAAACTATATAGAGAAAAGCAATAAAATCATTACCACAGAAGTAAGACTCACGGTAACTTGAAGAAGGAGGAAGGGCAGACCAAGTGCCAGGTACCAGCAATAGTCTACTTTTTGCTCTGGGTGGTGGTTACACTAGTTTTCACTTTTATAGCCATTCTTTAAACTGTACGTGTATACTTCATGCACGGTTGAATATGAACGTCACACTTCATGATATGAAAAAAAAAAACAATAAAACAAAGGGCAGAATTAAAAACAAACGTTTTTCTAAGACCATGTAAATGCACTTCAATATAAATATAATTTCACAGAAAATATAACCAGTAGTTATTTCATCTGTAGTAAGAAAACTAGAAGTGACACGGTACGTCATAACACTTTGGGCAGAGAATTCAATGAGCCACCAACATGACAAACGATTAATTGGAACATTTGAAACTCCCCTCGATGTGTCCAAATCTGGTTGCCAATTCTGTTGTTAGTGGATTATTTGCACTTGGGAAAATGTGTTCATTGACATCACATTTTCTGAAGTATATTTCCATAGCAAAGTCAAATAGGGAAACTGAATAATGCAGCCACATCTGTTCATTGCACATGCAAAATGCTGGCTCCTACACTGATTATACACACCTCTCTCCAAAGAATCTGCATTATGAGCCCACTCAGGAAAGATCACACTGGCATCTTGCCTTTCAGGCAAAAGCCTATCTGCGCTGTTACTTGTAAGAGAAAGCAAGGAAAGAAATGGAGTGCCGATTATACCGCAGCTGGGCTCTTTGAGGTAGATGACGTAGGTGAGAAAAAAGCACTCCGCTCTACATTAAAATCAATGCACTCTCCCACATGGCAAAGCTAACTGTCCTCCATATTCACCTTGAGTAACGCAAAGACTGTACAAGCTTTGACTGCAGTTACATACCTCTGGGGTGGTAAAGCAAGGAACAAAGCTGCCCGGTGCCATGTCAGCTCTCCCACAGAGCCTGGATTAGAGAAAAGACGGAAGAGAAATCAACCAACCAAGGGGAAAACTAAAGAGAGTCAAGACTTTCAATCTCAAAAGTCATCATCTCCCTGCTACACACTTCTACTCAAATGCCAATGATCTGTCATGATTAGTAGCCCTTGACACACCTCCTTCCTTCTCATTTCTGCTTTTTCTTACACTTCCCTCTCTTCCTCTCTCCTCCAGAATTCCCTCCTCCCTATATAATTGAATCCTGTTTATCTATCCAAAACCTGAACCAAACCCAACCTTATAGTGATGTTATCAATCTTGCAGGACAATGTAGAACTGCCCCAGAGGGTTTCCAAGGCTGTAATCTCTCTGGAAGCAGACTGCCACATCTTTATCCCATGGAGTAGCTGGTGGGTTCAAAGTGCCAATCTTCCAGTTAACAGCCAAATGCTTAACTACTGTACCACTGGGGCTTCTTATTTATCTATCCAGGCCCACTCATTTTCACCAGAGCCTTCCTGTCTCTCCTCTGAGTACCTCACTGTAGCATAAATTATGATCTCTGCTTCTCATTACCAGCTGCCGTAAGCTGGTTTCAACTCATGAGACCTCACAGTCAGAGTAGAACTGTGCTCCATAAGGTTTTCTTTGGGAAGCAGATCACCAGGTTTTTCTTTGGAGGCACCTCTGGGTGAGTTGTGTCAACACAACTAACCCAGGGGGTTAATCACTTGTGCCACCCAAGGGCTCTTCTATGACCCACTGGCCCTTCAGTTTTAGTGCTTTACTGAGCTTCCTCTCTCTGCTCCTTTCCCTCTCCTGTACCATTCAAGGCTGGCCCTCCTCGGGGTCCAAGCCTCTTCCC